AGAGCTGTCTCCTCTCATATTCTGTATTCCATGGCCAGTAGAGCTGTCCACTTTTCAGCCCAGAGTCAACAGAGTTGTCCCCTCTCATAGCCCATGGCCAATGGAGTTGTCCTCTCTCATGGTCCATAGCCCATGGGCAATAGAGTTGTATGCCCTCAAGCACATAACTCAAAGTCAACAGAGTTGGCCCCTCTCATATCCCATGGACCATAGAGTTGTCCGCCCTCAAACACATAAACCAAACTCAACAGAGTTGGCCCTTCTCATAGCCCATGGTCAATGGAGTTGTCCGCCCTCAAGCACATAACCCATGGACAATAGAGTTGTCCACCCTCAAGCACATAACCCAACAGAGTTGTCCCCTCTCATATCCCATGGACAATAGAGTTGTCCCCTCTCATAGCCCATTGACAATAGAGTTGTCAGCCCTCAAGCACATAATCCACAGTTAACAGAGTTGTCTCCTCTCATAGTCTGTATTCCATGGCCACATAGCACATGATGAATCGAGTTGTCCCGTCTCATAGCCCTTTGCACATGGGCAATGGAATTGTTCACTGTCATTGCCCATAGTTAACATAGTTATTGCCTCTCATAGCTATGGCCAGTGGAGTTGTCCACTTTCAAGCACATAACCCATCGTTAACAGTTGTCTCCTCTCATAGTCCATTCCATGGCCAATAGAGTTGTCCACTCTTCAGCCCATAGTCAACAGAGTTGTCTCATCTCATAGTCCATGGCCCATGGGCAATGGAGTTGTTCACTGTCATTGCCCATAGTCAACATAGTTATTGCCTCTCATAGCTATGGCCAGTGGAGTTGTCCACTCTCAAGCACATAGCCCATAATTAACAGAGTTGTCTTCTCTCATAGTCTGTATTCCATGGCCAATAGAATTGTCCACTCTTCAGCCCATAGTCAACAGTTGTCTCCTCTCATAGCCCATGGCCAATGGAGTTGTCCCCTCTCAGCCTATAACCCATGGCCAATAGAGTTGTCTTCTCTTATAGCTCATAGTCCATGACCAAATGAGCTATCCACTCTCAAGCCCATAGTCCAGAGAGTTGTCCCCTCTCATAACCCATGGCCAATGATGCTGCCTCCTCTCTTAGTCCATAGTTCATGGCCAGTGGAGTAGTCCGCTCTCATAACCCACACTAAACAGAGTTGTTCCCTCTCATAGCCCAAATCCCATGGGCCAATACAGTTGTCCACCTTCAAGTACATAACCCAAATTCAGCAGAGGTATTCCCTCTCATAGATCATGGTCAATGGAGTTGTCCATAGGCTATGTTGTTCCACACATAGTGAATAGTTGCCAGGTCAAGATCTTCATGAAAGGCCCAGTGAAATAGATGGGACCAGATATACCTTTGTGATGTCTGATGAGGTCATGAAGTATGATACCTTGAGATCCAATGTAGTATAGTGTAGTGGATTGAGCATTGAACAGGAGGTACATCTACACTGTAGAGTTAGTGATGCTATGGGACCCCAAGAGTGGTAGTTTGGTAAGTATTGAGCTCCTTCTCCAGCTTTGCTTCAGTGGCTTTAGCATCACAGGGATTTGTTGTCCAACCAAAGAAAGTTGTGTATGGTCAACGTTAACTTGAATCCTGCTCAGGAACACTCAATGAATGAATGAATACGTAATACATTTGAGTCAAAATCCTTTATTGGCAGGGTACATTTTACAAGTGGCTTCATGTTGACCTATGAGGACATACAACCCATGCTTGCACAATCCAAATCCATACACACACTTACACATCCTAGTCTACATGACGTATATTATGGGAAGGAGTACTACTCAGATATTCCCATGAGTCGACTTTTCCCACCATTTTGGTAAAGAAACATCCATTATAAAAAACAACAACAATGCTCAAACTTTACAAGGCACACAATCCTTTGTCTATTACAACACACACACACTAAGCCTTGGATTCTACGGGAGACCATTATTCATGAGTAAATCCCATTGATTCATTAAGTATATACTCTATTCAGGACTGCCAGTTGCATCCAGTCCAGAAATAAATCTTTATCTTAGTCTATGTGTGTGTTGTTCCTATGTGTGCACATTGCAATGGAAAGAATTTTCACTGTTATTCATTTGTGTTTGGGTGGAGCATGAATATACACACCTTCCACCCAATGCGTCTATATCAGGTATAGGCAAACCCAGGTCCGGAGGCCAGATGCAGCCACTTGAGCTCTTTTCGCAGGCCGTCCAATCTCTCACCATCCTATCCTTCCTTCCTTCTCTATCCTTCATCCTTCCTTCCTTCCCTTCCTCTTTCTCCTTCCCTTCCACCCTTTCATCCTTCCTTTCTTCCTCTTTTTCCTTCCTCCTTCCCTCCCTCTCTTCCAACCCTCTTTCTCCCTCCCTCCTTCCTTCCTTCCTTCCTTCCTTCTTCCTTCCCTTCCTTCCTTCCTTTTTGTCTTTTTCCTTTCTCTTTCCTCCCCTCCCTTCCCTTCTTTCTCTCTCCCTCTTTCTCCCTCCCTCCTTCCTTCCTTTTTCCTCTTTCCTTCCTCCTCCTTCCTCCCCCCATCCATCCATCCCTTCCACCTTTCCTCCCTCTCTCCTTTTTGTCTTTCCTTCCCTCCTTCCGCCCACCTTCCCTCTCCCCTTCTCCCTCCATTCCCTTCCACCCTTCCTTCCTTTTTTTCCTTCCTTCCCTCTTTCTTCCCTCCTTCCCTCCCTCCCTCTTTCTCTCCCTCTCCATACCCTTCCACCCTTCCTTCTTCCTTCCTTCCATCCATCCTTCCTTTCCACCTTTTCTCCCCTTCTCTCTTTTGCCTTTCCTTTCTTCCCTCTTCCCTCCCTCCTTCCCTCTCTCCCTCTTTCTCCCTCTTTCTCCCTCTCTCCTTCCTTCCTTCACCTCTGCCGGAATAATGGCAGAGACTCAAGGTTCCAGGGTTCCAAGAGTACAGGGGACACTGCCTTTTCCTCGCAGTGAGGGGGAAGACAGGAGTGGTGGAGTGTCCCAACTTCGCAGATTTTCACTTATTGTGGGTCGTCCTGGAACATAACACTCATGATAAGTGAGGCAACACTGTTTTCTCACTGCAAGAGATACATTGCAGCTGGGTGTTTCTGGATATAATGAGCTAGCCATAGGACTGATCTTCAGGAGAAAAGCATTTGTCTTATTTTGGTGGTGGATGCTGCTGGTTTTCCCCCAGGTTTGTGGGGGGAAATTTGTTTGGTTCACCTCTGCCGGAATAATGGCACAGACAGGGGCGGCTCATCCATTACTCAAAGTAAGCGGTCGCAGAACACGTTTTTTTGCCAGGGGCGCAGAGGCGCCTCTGTAAATGCCCCTTGACCACCACTTGAGGAGCGCCCCCTCAGCTCACAACAGCCCTATCAGTCCGGGGGGAGCCTCGGCTTTCTTGCCTCGCTGCCGGGCGATCCCTCGCCTAGCCCCTCTCGTTCCTGCTCCACCCGGCCACCAGGTGCGCGAGCAGAGCCGGCGCTCAATCGTTCTCCACATTCTATCCCTTTCCCATGACCGGCTCCCTTTCCCGATCCCCGGCACTCCACCCGCCTCCTCTCCTCTCCCCAATCCTCGGGTGGGCCAAGGGGCGCAGCCGCCGCACCTGGCTCACTTCGGGTCCGGAGGCGTGTCTGAAGACCCCAGCGTGCGCACCAAAAGTCACCTCTTCTCCTGACTTTCTCTTCAGCCATTGGGACCAAGAGAGAGAGAGAGAGAGAGCCCCTCCGGCTGGAGGTATCTCCCACCTCCGCTCCCTCCTTTGTTTTTGCGCCTACCTTCAGGAAAGGTGGGCATCTCCACCTCTCTCTGTCTCTCTCTCTCTCTCGGTCCCAATGGCTGAGGAGAAAGTCAGGAGAAGAGGTGACTTTTGGTGCACACGCCGGGGTCTTCAGGCACGCCTCCAGACCCAAAGCGGGCCAGGCAAGGGAGCAAGTGCGGCAAGTGCAGTTACTGGGATGTATAGTTCACCTACAATCAAAGAGCATTCTGAACTCCACCAATGATGGAATTGAACCAAATATGGCACACAGAACTCCCACGAAACAGAAAATATATATCAATGATTGGTTGGGGGGGGGGCTCCAAAATACTGTTTGCTTCCCATTGAAAATTACCTAGGGCCGCCTCTGGGCAGAGACTCAAGGTTCCAGGGTTCCAAGAGTACAGGGGACACTGCCTTTTCCTCGCCGGTCAGCAGTGAGTAAATGAGAGACGGGGGGGGGGGGGGGGGGAGACAGGAGTGGTGGAGTGTCCCTACTTCGCGGATTTTCACTTATTGTGGGTGTTCTGGAATGTAACACCCACGATAAGTGAGGCAACACTGTATTCTCACTTTCTTCTCCAATTGTTTCTATGTCGGAACGTTATCATTCTTTGAAACTGAAGTAGATCATGACTCTGTAACAATCCATTCAGTTATTCTGATTTGGCAGAGACAGTTCCGGTTACTACTCTGCCATGCCATATTGTCAGCAGTCTCTCTAACTTCCTCCCATTTCCTTCCTTTGTCCCTGGCATATTTCACTTGGGTTCAAAGTGCTAAAGTAGTTTGCATTCAGTTAATAACTATTCAGCAGCAGAGATCGGCGATCGTGCCCATTCTCGTTGGCTCAGACAAAAGCAAACTGCTGTAATCCTTGCTTGACTGTTCTACCACATTACTGACTCTTGTCATCATGACCACTCTCTGATGTCTCTAGGCCAGACATGTCCCACCAGGGAAATGTTGGGGAGCATGCATTAACATGACCCCACGTTCTTGGTTTCCAGGGAGTACAGTCACCCTTGAAATATCTGGTCACGGAAGCTTGGGATATATCAACATGTAATCCAAGTATAGGGTTGTGGCACCTAGAAGGTCTGTCCCACCAGAAGCCATCAATTCTCTAGGCCAGACATGTCCCACCAGTGAAATGTTGGGGAGCATGCATTAACATGACCCCACCTTCTTGGTTTCCAGGGAGTACAGTCACCCTTGAAATATCTGGTCACGGAAGCTTGGGATATATCAACATGTAATCCAAGTATACGGTTGTGGCACCTAGAAGGTCTGTCCCACCAGAAGCCATCAAGTCTCTAGGCCAGACATGTCCCACCAGTGAAATGTTGGGGAGCATGCATTAACATGACCCCACGTTCTTGGTTTCCAGGGAGTACAGTCACCCTCGAAATATCTGGTCACTGGAAGCTTGGGATATATCAACATGTAATCCAAGTATAGGGTTGTGGCACCTAGAAGGTCTGTCCCACCAGAAGCCATCAAGTCTCTAGGCCAGACATGTCCCACCAATGAAATGTTGGGGAGCATGCATTAACATGACCCCACGTTCTTGGTTTCCAGGGAGTACAGTCACCCTCGAAATATCTGGTCACTGAAGCTTGGGATATATCAACATGTAATCCAAGTATACGGTTGTGGCACCTAGAAGGTCTGTCCCACCAGAAGCCATCAAGTCTCTAGGCCAGACATGTCCCACCAGTGAAATGTTGGGGAGCATGCATTAGCATGACCCCACGTTCTTGGTTTCTAGGGAGTACAGTCACCCTCGAAATATCTGGTCACTGAAGCTTGGGGATGTGTATATCAACATGTAATCCAAGTATACAGTTGCGTCACCTAGAAGGTCTGTCCCACCAGAAGCCATCAAGTGCCCTTGGAGGACAGAAGAAGGTCCCAGCCATTGGTGGTATGAAGCCATAGTCCCTCCCAGTCTCCTTGCATACTAAACATGGCCTCCACGCCATTAGCAATTAACTGTAGAACACGGGTTTACGATGGATGCGTAAGACGTTGTATGTGTTCAGACCCGGAGCATCAAAGCCAGGGGATAATCCCTTGCGGTCGAAAGGGTAGAAGTTGAAAAGCTGCCCATCTTGGGTCTCCAAGGAAACGGAGGCTGAGCCGAGGTGGAGAGTGCAGGGGAACTCCTTGTCGAACACCACCTGGAAAACGCGGTCCTCGAGGTGGTGCAGTTTGATGGTCCGGTAATTTGCTGGTATCAGCTCCTCAATATGGGGCCCAAACTGCTGCATCACCAGCACCCCACCAGCACCCACTTTGATCTCATAGAAAGTCAGGTTGGAGTAAGTGTAGTACCCGACGTAGGGGGCGGGGCTCGGAGGCGGGGCAAGGCTCTTCTCGGCTTCGCGGAAAGCTGACTCCATGGCGGGAATGAGCTGTTCGTAGGTCTGTGCCACCACGTCTCCTCCCTGAGGACGGGGACCAGCCATGAGGACAATGAAGCTCAAGCGCAGCTTCGGCACCAAGGAGAAGGTGGCGGAGTAGCCGTCCAAGTCGCCATCTTTCCTAATGATATCGTACCCAAGTTGCTCATTGATTTCCCAGGGCGTTCCAGTCTTGTTGGCAAAGTACTCGCTGGAGCACTTGAAGAGGGGCGTCAACATAGTTTTCACCGTGTCCGGCTCCAGGAGGCGCCGATGGTAAGTCCCCAAGAAGACCATGGCCAGCTTGGCGAGGTCGGCGGCTGTTGAGTACATCTGGCCGGAGGGCCTGTACCAGCCCAAGTCGTAAAGAGGGGCTGGTTGCCCACTGCCATAGAAGCCAACCGCCATCTGGGAGCGGATGGGAGGCGTGATGTCGAAGCCGGTGTCCTCCATGCCCAACCGGTCCAGGATGTTCTCAGACACCCACCGCTGGTACTCACCCTCGGCGGCATGTTCGGCAAGAACGTGTGCCATGAGGGAGAACGCCAAGTTGCTGTAATGGCATCTGGAGAAAGAAAGGAAGCACAAGATATTTGTGTTGTCTCCCCAACCTGGACAACGATCTCAGGGAGATCCATGTCATTGCTAAACACAGCTGCCAAGATATTGCCGCCACTAGGCTTGGGTAACAACGGAAACATTTGTTTGTAAACTCATTACCATCACCTCCTCTCCTTCTGTCTTTCCTTCCTTCCTTCACTCCTCCCTCCCTTCTTTCCTACCTTCCATGTAGGTGTGTAATGTGTTACCTCCTCTCCTTCCCTCCCCTCTCCCTCCCCCTTCCTTCCTTCCTTCCTTCCTTCCTTCCTTCCTTCCTTCCTTCTTTCCTTCCTTCCTTCCTTCACTCCTCCCTCCCTTCTTTCCTACCTTCCATGTGTTGTGTGTGTAATGTGTTACCTCCTCTCCTTCCCTCTCCTCTCTCCTCCCCCTCCTTCCTTCCTTCCTTCCTTCCTTCCTTCCTTCCTTCCTTCCTTCCTTCCTTCCTTCCTTCCTTCCTTGTGCATGAATGAACTTGCTCATTTCCTTCCTTCCTTCCTTCCTTCCTTCCTCCTTCCTTCCTCCTTCCTTCCTTCCTTCCTTCCTTCCTTCCTTCCTTCCTTCCTTCCTTCACTCCTCCCTCCCTTCTTTCCTACCTTCCATGTGTTGTGTGTGTAATGTGTTACCTCCTCTCCTTCCCTCTCCTCTCTCCTCCCCCTTCCTTCCTTCCTTCCTTCCTTCCTTCCTTCCTTCCTTCCTTCCTTGTGCAATGTGTTACCACCACCTCCTCTCCTTCTTTCTTTCTTTCCTTCCTTCCTTCACTCCTCCCTCCCTTCTTTCCTACCTTCCATGTGTTGTGTGTGTAATGTGTTACCTCCTCTCCTTCCCTCTCCTCTCTCCTCCCCCTTCCTTCCTTCCTTCCTTCCTTCCTTCCTTCCTTCCTTCCTTCCTTCCTTCCTTCCTTTGTGTGTGCAATGTGTTACCACCACCTCCTCTCCTTCTTTCTTTCTTTCCTTCCTTCCTTCACTCCTCCCTCCCTTCTTTCCTACCTTCCATGTGTTGTGTGTGTAATGTGTTACCTCCTCTCCTTCCCTCTCCTCTCTCCTCCCCCTTCCTTCCTTCCTTCCTCCCTTCCTTCCTTCCTTCCTTCCTTCCTTCCTTCCTTCCTTCCTTCCTTCCTTCCTTCCTTCCTTACGAAATTAACGAACGAAACCGCCCAAGCCTCGTATACCCTTTAACAGTCTCAATTTGGCATCAGTCTTCTGTCATCTAGCTTTTTCAATGTCCTGGATTCTTTCTCCTTCCCTGACTCCCCCTTCCTTTGTTGCGTACTGAGTTCAAACTCCTTACTCCATTGGGTTCAACCCACAATTCCCAGTGTTGTTTTCCCTTGCTATTCTTTTCTCGAGGAGAAAGAAACAGAGAAGGGGGTGGCTCGCTTACAAGCATTAAACCTCTCAGGCGAGGACAAAAGAGGACAAGATTCAGCTAAGCTGCTTTGGAGATTTTCCCTCGCAGAAGCATTTTAATCACCGTAAGGTGTCAAAGCTGGAGCTTGTCTTCTCTTGCAATAGCCATTCATGCATTCTAGCCAGGAATCCAGAGAATCGTGGTTGCAGGTGAGGGACGTTTAGGATGACTTCCAAGAGACCAACTCTGAATGGCCCAATATGTATACTAGGCTTGGTTGATCCAGCTCGTTAATTTCTAATCTCGTTAAGAAATCGTAAATAAAATACCTTTAGAAGCGATATCAATGCGTTTTGGCAACCTCTTTCTCCTTCCCTTCCACGATTTCATCCTTCCTTCCTTCCTCTCTTTCCTTCCTCCTTCCCTCCCTCTCTTCCCTTCCCTCTTTCCTCCTTCCTTCCTTCCTTCCTTCCTTCCTTCCTTCCTTCCTTCCTTCCTTCCTCCTTCCTTCCTTCCTTCCTTCCTTCCTTCCTTCCTTCCTTCCCTCTCTCCCTTTTCCCTCCATTCCCTTCCACCCTTTCATCCTTCCTTCCTTCTCTCCTTCCTTCCTTCCATCCATCCATCCTTCCCTTGCACCTTTCCTCCCTCTCTCCCTTTTGTCCTTCCTTCCATCTTTCCTCCCTCCCCTCCCTCTCTCTCCCTCCATTCCCTTCCACCCTTTCATCCTTCCTTCTTGCCTTCCTTCCTTCCGTCCTTCCACCCATCTATCCATCCATCCATTCTTCACTTCTACCTTTCCTCCCTCCCTCTCTTTTGTCTTTCCTTCCTTCCCTCTTCCCTCCCTCCTTCCCTCTTTCCCTCCCTCTCCCTCTCTCCATTCCCTTTCACCCTTCCTTCCTTCCTTCCTTCCTTCCTTCCTTCCTTCCTTCCATCCATTCATCCATCCTTCAATTGCACCTTTCCTCCTCTCTACCTTTTGTCCTTTCTTCCCATCTTTCCTCCCTCCCCCCTCTATCTCTCTCTCTCCATTCCCTTCCACCCTTTCATCCTTCCTTCTTGCCTTCCTTCCTTCCGTCCTTTCACCCATCCATCCATCCATCCATTCTTCACTTCTACCTTTCCTTCCTCCCTCTCTTTTGTCTTTCCTTTCTTCCCTCTTCCCTCTCTCCTTCCCTCTCTCCCTCCTTCTCCCTCTCTCCATTCCCTTTCACCCTTTCACCCTTCCTTCTTCTCTCCTTCCTTCCTTCCTTTCATCCATCCTTCTCCCTTTCCTCCCTCCATTCCCTTCCACCCTTTCATCCTTCCTTCCTTCTCGCCTTCCTTCCTTCCTTCTTTCCCTCCCTCCATCCATCCTTCCCTTCTACCTTTCCTCCCTTCCTCTCATTTGTCTTTCCATCCTTCCCTCTTCCCTCTCTTCCTCCTTCTCCCTCTCTCCATTCCCTTTCACCCTTTCATCCTTCCTTCCTTCTCGCCTTCCTTCCTTCCATCCATCCATCCTTCCCTTGCACCTTTCCTCCCTCTCTCCCTTTTGTCCTTCCTTCCATCTTTCCTCCCCCCTCCCCTCTTTCCTCCTTCCCTTCTACCCTTTCATCCTTCCTTCCTTCTCTTCCTTCCTTCCTTTCCCATCCATCCATCTTCCCCTTCCCTTCCTCCCTCTCTCCCTTTGTCCTCCTTTTCCTCCTCCCCCTCCTACTTTTCCTCTCCCTTCCTTCCTTTCCCTTTTCCTTCCTTCCTTCTTCCTTCCTTCCTTCCTCTCTTCCCTCCCCTCCCTCCCCCTTTTCCTTTCCTTCCACCCTTTCCTCCTCTCCCCTCTTTTTTCTTTCCTTCCTTCCCTCTTCCCCTCTCCTTCCTCTCTCCCTCCTTCTCCCTCTCTCCATTCCCTTTCACCCTTTTCTTCCTTCCTTCCTTCTCCTTCCTTCCTTCCTTCCTCCATCCTCCTCTTCTCCTCCTTCCTTACCTTTCCCTCCCTCTCTCCCTTTTGTCCTTCCTTCCATCTTTCCCCTCCCTCCCTCTTTCCTCCCTCCATTCCCTTCCACCCTTTCTCCTTCCTTCCTTCGCCTTCCTTCCTTCCTTCTTCCCTCCCTCCATCCATCCTTCCCTTCTACCTTTCCTCCCTTCCTCTCATTTGTCTTTCCATCCTTCCCTCTTCCCTCTCTTCCTCCTTCTCCCTCTCTCCATTCCCTTTCACCCTTTCATCCTTCCTTCCTTCTCTCCTTCCTTCCTTCCATCCATCCATCCTTCCCTTGCACCTTTCCTCCCTCTCTCCCTTTTGTCCTTCCTTCCATCTTTCCTCCCTCCCCTCCCTCTATCTCTCTCCCTCCATTCCCTTCCACCCTTTCATCCTTCCTTCTCGCCTTCCTTCCATCCTTCCACTCATCCATCCATCCATTCTTCACTTCTATCTTTCCTTCCTCCCTCTCTTCCTTCCCTCTTTCCTCCCTCCTTCCCTCTCTCCCTCTTTCCCCTTCTCTCCATTCCCTTCCACCCTTTCACCTTTCCTTCTCTTTCCTTCCTTCCTTCCTTGCTTCCTTCCATCCATGCTTCCCTTCCACTTTTCCTCCCTCTCTCTCTCTTTTGTCTTTTCTTCCTTCCCTCTTCCCTCACTCCTTCCCTCTCTCCCTCCTTCTCCCTCCCTCCATTCCCTTTTACCCTTTTCCTTCCTTCCTTCCTTCCTTCTTCCTTCCTTCCTTCCTCCTTCCCTCCTTCCCTCCCTCCTCCCTCCTCCTCTTTCCCTCCTTCTTCTTCCCTTCCTTCCTTCTCCTTCCTTTCCTTCCTTCCTTCCTTCCTTCCTCCTCCTTCCCTCCCTCCCTCCCTTCCTCATTCCTTCCTTCCCTCCCTCCCTTCCTGCTTTCCTCCTTTCTTTTCCCTTCCTTCCTTCTTCCTTCCTTCTCCTTCCTCTCCTTCCTTCCTTCCTCCCTCCTTCCCTCCCCTCCTTCCTCATTTCCTTCCTTCCCTCCCTCCCTTCCTGCTTTCCGTCCTTTACTTCTTTTCCCTTCCTTCCTTCCTTCCTTCCTTCCTTCCTTCCTTCCTTCCTCCTTCCCTCCCTCCCTCCCTTCCTCATTTCCTTCCTTCCCTCCCTCCCTTCCTGCTTTCCGTCCTTTACTTCTTTTCCCTTCCTTCCTTCCTTCCTTCCTTCCTTCCTTCCTTCCTCCTTCCCTCCCTCTCCCTCCCTCCCTCCCTCCCTTCCTCATTTTCTTCCTTCCCTCCCTCCCTTCCTGCTTTCCGTCCTTTACTTCTTTTCCCTTCCTTCCTTCCTTCCTTCCTTCCCTTCCTTCCCTCCCTCCCTTCCTGCTTTCCGTCCTTTACTTCTTTTCCCTTCCTTCCTTCCTTCCTTCCTTCCTTCCTCCTTCCCTCCCTCCCTCCCTCCCTTCCTCATTTCCTTCCTTCCCTCCCTCCCTTCCTGCTTTCTATCCTTTACTTCTTTTCCCTTCCTTCCTTCCTTCCTTGCTCCTTCCCTCCTCCTCCCTGTCTCATTTTCTTCCTTCCCTCCCTCCCTTCCTTTCCTTCCTTTCTTCTTTTCCTTTCTTCCTTCTTCCTTCCTTCCTTCTTCTCTTCCTCCCTCCCTCCTTCATTCTTCCCTTCTTCCTTTTCCCTTCCTTCCTTCCTTCCTTCCTTCCTTCCTCCCTCCCTCCCCCTCCCCCCCCTTCCCCCCCCCCAGAGCAGGCATGGACAAAGTTGGGCCCTCCGGGCATTTTGGACTTAACTCTCACAATTCCTTGAGTTCCTCCTGGCTGTTAGGAATGAGAAGAGTTCAAGTCCAAAACACCTGAAGGGCCCAAGTTTGCCCTTTCCAACCCAATGAAGAGCAAACAGCGGAGTCTTCTCCAAACAAAGACTAAGCCTGCTCCATCCACCGGCTCCTGTTGTGCTTGCTTTGCTCTCCTTTTGTCTCTTGCGCTTCACGCTGTTTGCCTTTGTGAGACAACGCCTAAGGGCAGATTGACAACGCCTATGGGGCGGACTGAGGATGGCCTCCTTCCTTCTCTCTCTGTTTCCGTGTTGCTTCTTGGATGCCGTCCTTGTTGAGGGCAAAAAATGGCCGAGAAGGTTCTGCAGGAAGCATTGAGATGACCTCCATTGATTGCTTGCTTGCTTGCATGGAATCGTACAATTCAATAGAAGCAAGTGTTGGGTTTTGCATGATTCACGACGTCACTGAAAATTGAAAAATGTGCTGTTGGCTTGTTCGAAAGTGTTATTTGTATACTACTGTGTGGTCCTTACTTTGGAAGGAGTTCTTCTCATCCAGAAACTTTGTTGTTTTCGTGCATTGA